ATCATTTGAATATATAGAAACTGTATTATTTTAAAACATCTATTAAGCAAATTATATTAGTAAAAAAATTCTAAACTGTTTACATTTTTTCAAAAATGATGTATAAGACATTCATATTAGGGTACGGTATTTTAATAATACTTAATAAATAATATTAAAAAAAAAAAATATTTACAAAAAATTAACACCCTAATACGCATAAAAACTTAAATTAAAAATTCATAATATTGGTAGATTAAATACTCAAGATATCTTGTACAATCTACACAGTATGCAGAAATGTAATCATATTAGCGTGCGTCTAATTTTTAAAATTTGTTTAGTAATAGTCTTTTGTCACATTTATGCTTGTATGCTAAAACTAATTATCGTTTTTAATATTATTAAAGCTGCAATAAACTTTAAGTTTTCATTACCCTAATGTATGTACATAAAATTACAATTCCAAAACAGCTTGCTCACACACATACCTACATACACACATAAATGCCAAGTAAATATGATTGTTTACAATTTTCACCCTATTTGTTGTTATTGCTTTCGCTATATTCCGCACTTGAGCATCGGCTAGTGCCGACTGCAGCCGAGAGTGCAGCATACTACATGCACATGCATTTATGGAGGGCGGGTCATAAACCGTCTGCAGCGGTGGGAAAGTGTATGCCAGCAATGTGTGTGTGTATGTATTGGGCGGGCGAACGAACGAGTCTATAACACACAGATGGAAGCTCGTGTGCACTTATTTGTGATGTTTGCGACGGGGCGGGCTGCCTGGGGCTTTTTGGCGTCACCAATTGCCTTATTGCTGCGCGCCACTCATTCACAAAAGACGCAAATTGTTGTGTGTACTGCGCGCGCCGGCCAACAACAAAAACAACTGCACATATTGTTTTGTAATTGTTTTTTGTCTGTTTTTTTGTTTTTTCTTTTACAACAAACATGTGAAAGTACAAAGTGCAAACAGTACATGCATACTTTTGCACTTTTACGCTGCATGCAAATTGGTGGGAATGCAAGAGGCGAAAACAAAAACAAACACAACAACAAGAACAAATAATAACAATAAAACGGCAATGCAGACAAGTGCAAACCGTGCAAGATGGTGGTGGCGATGTCGCTGGCTTTGTTGTTGTTGTTGTTACTGTTGTAGTGCATATATTGGCTTTTATTGCGTACGCGCTGTTTATTTGTATGTTGCTTGGCTTGTTGGCTTGTGGCAATACACGCCTACTGTTGATTGATAAGCGGCAGTTACGGTGGTTGCGCGAAATACAACAACAATATTACAAAATATTTGGTGCAAATGCCTTGACGGTAGAAGCAAATGTGTAAAAGTAAATGTATACAAACAGTTATTTTATTTTAAACTAAATTAATATTTATTTTTGTCTTTCAAAAACAATTCGCTGTTTGGAAATCTTGTTTGTTGGTTAAGATATCTTCACAAAATTTGACACTGCTCATTTTCGAAGACAACGCTACCATCTCCGAACATGTCGTTGAGATCGGAGCACATAGCATACAGTGGCCATACAAACCGACCAAGCAAAATCAAAATACGGAGCTTTTTATAAACTTTTATGCTGTAAGAAATGCAGTCGAGAAGGCAATTCTTGCTGTGCTGCAGCTGAACTTAACGTTTTTGCTTCTATTTACATGTCAACGACTTTTTTTGTTTATTTTTAAATTCCAATTACTAAAAATGTTTAATTTATGCACTTCATGGCTTAAGAAACTGTTGATTTTTCTTTTCGATAACTATTCATCAATCGATATTATAAAACATTCATAAGGGTGTTAGATTGGTAAGTAAACACTTACAAAAATGTAATACTTTTCGCATTTTATTGTATTTAAATTGTAATAATTAATTATTGATATTAAAAAAAAATGCAAAACAAAAAAAAAAATTCCGTGTGAATCAAGAAAAACAAATATTCAGCGCTCCTCTCTGCGTTTTTGCCACATACAGCCACTCCCGCATGTCAGCAATATAGCGGGGTGTGAAAATGATTGCAACGGCATTCACTAAGTCAAGCCAAGTCATTATTGCGGACAACGTCAACGTCTCCGCTCGCAGCGCAGCGCAGCTGGTTGCCTGGTGGAATGCATTTTAACGGCAAAATTCGCAGCAAAAACAAAAACACACACAAACACACATACATATGTATTTGTGTCTGTATATGCATTGAAATGGCAAGCCGCCGCTATGATGGAATGCAGACAACGCTGACTGGGTGGCTTAACCGGCGCCCACAGGCACGGAAGAGCGCATACACACATGCACAGACATTTGTGCTTATGTGGTTGTTGTTTGTCTGACCAAATGGCTGCAGCGCCGCGCAGCAAATATTGACTGGCGCGTTGCTCGACTGACTGACAGCAGCAGCGCCGCGACCGATAGGTGTGCGTATTCAGAGGGGAGCAATGAAAAAATGCAAATAAAGGCGTCTAATCGACAGATACATATACATATATGTATGTAGGTACCAAAATACATATGTAGCACGTTTAGTACGTAAAGCAGATTGTATGGGGCAAAGAGCACAGAAGAGCGCTACAAAGAGCTCATGCAATATAATGTTAGTGAGAATGCATAGCAGCAGTGGAAAATAGTGACTCAGGGGCGGGGAGTAATGACAAGTGCAATGAATAAAACAAAACAAAAAGATACACAACAACATATACATACATACACATATGTATATACAGCAGCGACATAAGCTCTTGTCGCCTTGCGTGATTCCTGCTGTCGCACAACAGCAGCAGTTGTTGCAATTGCTGCTGGTGCTGGTATGCGTGTTGTAGTAGTCGGCATTATGCGTATACGCTCGGTTCGACATTCGTTCGCTCGTTGGTTCGTTGATTGCTACAGCCAGCACAAAATTTTCATTCATAAAAATTTACACAAAAGCAAGAACAAACAACAGCGAAATGCCAACAGCAATAAAAACAAGTACGGATTGCAGCGAAAGCAATCACAACATCATCGTGCCACAAACAACAGCAAAAATACGGCGGCCACAGCGCATGTCAGGGCAATGTGCTAGCATTCGGCTCGCTGCTCGGCTTTCACACACACACACAGGCGCGCAGTCGCATCTACACAAATACGAAAAAATAAGTGTTTATTTCTGCAAAAGCTGGCAATGCTCGCAGTTTTTTGTTTCGTGCACTTTTCGAGCTCCACAATCGGTTGTGCGTTGCTGTTGTTTGTTTTTGTCGCCGCTAGGCGCTTTCGGCTGCTTTGCTGCTTTTTGGCGCAGTTATTTCTATTAATTGTAAAAACCACAAACAAGTGATATTTATATGTGGAAGAAATTACAACAAAACCAAAACAAAAAATTATTTGCCAGTAAAGTAAGAGCCAATGCCAATATGGGCTTACCAGAGAAAATAATTTAATTTTATGCGAAATTTTATCTTAAAAGAAAATTTTGCATTTAAAATTAAGGTGTATTCATATTAGGGTGTGCCGTTTTTCAGTTTAACTAAAAGTTTCAACTAAAACTGCCTAACAATTTTCAAGAATGTGAATATCTACCAACAAAAATACAAAATTTATGAATTTAAATTCTTTTTTTATACTTTTTTTTATATAGATTTCTTTTAATTTTTTTT